TAAACACAATTCATACATTTAAAAGTAAATTGAAAGCTTTCCTGCTTAACATGTTCTACAGTGTAAAGTAATTTTCAAATTACATTTCCCTTAAAAGATATAAATAATTAAGAATTTCTTATCCCATTACACTTTCTGTTTCAAGCTGAAGCAAAGAAAAAAGAACTGCATATCACATCCTGTGAAACAGAAGGAGAATGGAAGAAGAAAAAAAACTGGTCAGAACTTGCCTCCTCACCATTTCAAGTTATAAATATAGAATGTACTACTCTTATTAAATTTGATGTAGTTGCAAGCATAAAGCACCGGCAATACATAAATTACCCCCAATTCTGAAACCTTGTCCTACCATACCATCACATCCTAAGGACCCCCCACCCTGACACTCACAGAAAAAGCACCACCTTAAAATCCTGCAACTTCCTCCCCACTTAACTTAGACCAAAGGGCAAATCAGATAAATACTGCAACGCTTAACAATTGACAATGACTACTACAAAAAACAAACCACAAAAAGCTCAATCCCTTTGTCTTCCCAAAGCCCACCCTTCCTTCCCTTTATATCCTCAGCCCCATCGTCCAAATACCCTCAACAAAACCACCCATCCTCCCTTACTAAAATATCCATTCTTTCATTCACCCAAATTCCCGATCCCCTTCCCTGCATGGAGGAGCAGAGTTGCAACAAAAAAATATTAAGATCCAGAAGACAACTCAGCATGAGTCAAGACAGCTATGCAACAAACACCATCACTAGCTCAGGTCAGGTCCCTTCCCAATTTAGTTTTAAAATAGTTTCAAAAATTTTGGCCACTTTTAGTAATTCTTCTAAAAATTCCCTTTAATTTCCAGAAAGTGGCCACTCTGATACTTTAACCAGGAGCCCAGAGAATCTGTTAACAACCTGTTTACTCTGGCTGAAAACCGTATAGGTACCCTAACTACAAATAAGGTATCGAAGGATCTACTGCATTACTTTTGCATAGAACCACTCAACTTTCATGCATATTGCTTTCGATGAGAAAGAAAATGTATATTGGACGTAGACTGTTTAGATAATTTGGTTCCCCAGAAGGAAGATAAGTAGATCTAAAGAATTTTATTATAAATTAATGCAATTAATTTACCATTATATACTCAAATAATGAATAATCTCACGTCTTTTGAAAGATATATTCACTACTCAACAGATAATCTAAAATAAACAATACATTAAATATATGCAATTAAAATTTGTTGAATACAATTGTTTATTACCAATAAAAATACAAATTTACAACAAAAAAGAGATTTAAAACAAATAATAATGCAGCAATCACTAAATTCAGATTGTCCACGTAATGCAAGACAAAATTAATTTAATACTGTAAAATATTATTTTTAAATTTATTCAGTCAAATTCGAACACTGTGGGTTTTAATATTAATGGGTTATTTTCACAAAATTGTTACAAAATATTTTTTGAGCTACCTGTTGATATTTCTGCTACTTTCATTATAATACTTTTATTCCAGGCAAACATTCCAATTTTCAAATATCCTAATCATCATTCTTTGTCCTTCCTCATTCACCTAATTACAATCCACACCATAGGACACACACATGACCATCATAATATGAATTTTAATTTATAATTATTTACTAATTCAATTTTACATTGTAACAGTAGAATTGAAAATAGACCAATGTGAAAGATTCCAATTTTCAACACCAGGTTTTACATTACCCTACAATATTAGAAAATATGTTTTATATAATATAACACACACATTTTTTCAGATCGTTTGTATGCAATCATACCAACTGAAATCAAATAATGAAGTTTCTTTGTAAAACCTGCATGTTATCTCAATCTCCAAAACCTCTAGCCTCTCTCTTTCCCACACATAGTTGAATATAGCAATTAAAATTGTTTGCTACAATTGATACCAGGATGATACCAATTGATTGACAGGATGATTTTAATAAATGCAAATTTGCTGTAAAGATATTGCCAAGAAAATTTGGTCCCTCTTGATTATATAATTTACCTCAAATTTAATCATTATGCTCACATCTGAAATACAAGAAATTTCTCAGAGAAATCAAATGTATATATATACACTACTGAATAAAAGTAGTAAGATAAATACTACAAAGAACAAGATGAAAATAAATACAAGGTCTGTTCCCATTAATGTGACTGCAAAATGTCATTCACAAACTTATGAACAATTTCACAATATTCGGAAATGGCTTGTAGTAAAATCAACAAGGCACATGTTGCATCTGAGCCCTGACATCAACACTGGTGAAGTTCAATTTTTTCCAATCCTTTTCACATTACTCTCCTAATCATCACTTCTCTTGGAACACATTTTGAAACGTGAACCCTAACCATTGATGGTTGGAGTGGGTGTCACAGTGGGGAGTCACAAGTGTCAAGACAACCCACAAAAAGATAACACTCATGTGGAAAAGGCATATAATATTAATATTATTTTTGCCTTTAATTATTTTTTCATAATAAAATTGCCAGATTCACACTTTATATCTATCTCAAATGTTATCTTTAATAATTGCTAACCAATCACAGCTCAAGGAATTAAACTGGTCTAAGACGAGATACAAATTGATTGTCATAAAAAATAATATTGGCAAGAATAAGGAAGCACAATATAAACAAGCATTCGTGAGCTTATTAGTGCTGAAGAATTCTGCCAGTTGTCAGTCTTTTAAATTGGAAAGAACAAAAAGAGAGCAAAAGGAAGTAAAAGAAATTTTAAAAAATGCATTGTTAGGCAGTAGCAAACCTGAAAAAGTTTAATTGACAAATTTTCATAATTTTTATGGACACTTTGCTCTCCACTGCAGCTCAGTTATCAAAAAGGAAGACCACAGGTTTTAACTTATTTTTATAGTGCATCAACAAGACCTCATAATCTAGTAGGTGCAGGCATTTTACATATAATATTGTGAACAGGAATGGATATAGCACCAGCAAGGCCAATGCCAATAGCATCGGCCAATGTTGTGATACTGAGAGAAAACTCCTTTTTCTCTGGAGCCACCTGGAAACACAAATTAAAGTTAGTGCCCAATTTTGCTTGTATAATCACATGAGGTCAGTCACATGACCAATTTTTAAATTATAAATGTAATTCAGGGCGGCCAACAAATTCATTATTTGATCTGCCATATACATTTTCTGATAAAAGATATTCTCCTTGCAAGGTTTTTTTTTCCAACACAATTTCTTACAATTACATGGTTTTATTTACAAAATTTTTAATCTAAATTCACATTTCCCACCTTCTCAACCCATGTTTCCAATCATGTAGCAATGAAACTAGGTAACTATCAAGTTTATAATAAAATCCAATGTAAAACTGGGGAGTCAGGGGCTTCAGGTTTGTCGTTTGCCCAGTGCAATATCAAATACAGCAAAATGCTACTACTGCTAAATCAAACTCCCCAAAAACACAATACTAAGATGGTTTCAGGTTGTAGTTGGAAATCCCGATAATTTTTGCTCCCAATGACAGATTCAAAAGGTATTATGTGATATCAGTGTCAATCCATGACAATCATTTGATCACAAATTTTATTACTGGTCATTTCATAGAAGAATGAACCACTTCAAATGTCTACTAAACAATAATATCGGCAACTCTTTTACCTCATTTGCAATCCTGTAATATGTATTCACATATGCAGCACCTCCCAAGGTGCCTTCCCATAAAATCAAGGCGAATACAATCCAGATATTCGGGATATAAAAGTAAATGGCTTCAAATGTGAATATAATAACATTCAGAAACTGAAACAATAAAACATAAATCAGAAAAAACAATATTCTCTCAAATTTGTACATAAAAAAAGATCATATCAAATCTTCAATAATGCTTCTTTAAGAAAATAAACACTCAAATTTTAGAATGAATTACACAGCATAACGATGTATTTAGAAGTGATTTTTGGAACTAAGCATACATTCAAGTTTCATGGTGAAAATATTGTAAATAATGCTCTGCAAATGTTAAGTTTTATTAAATGTACTAACATTTTATGAGCTACACCACTTTGCATATCTCTCATTTCATACTTGCAGAACCAATATTGTACACGTCTCAAATTTGGTCTTCATACTATCAGGAAGTATAATATTATAGTAAAACATTAGTACATGTTCAACACAGTTCTTGTTTGCAGATTGGAAGCTTAAATTACCATCATCCATCATATCTCATTGATATTTTTATTTAGCAAGTGTACACATAATTTTCTCTTAGTTCATACAAGAAATTCAAAGACATTGAAATTGTACACACACGCACGCGCGCATGCACGCACACATAAATATGATTCAGCGAACTGTTTCTGGTTTAATAATGGATTACAGAACTTCTATTGAATAATTGAAAAAACATATCTAAGAATTATAAATCTGGGTTAAAAAAAATAAAGAATTTGGAGGGGGTGCAAAAGACAGAAAAAAAAGTTGGTGTTCATGTTTCTCCGTTTCAATTTGTTTTTGTATGCTGCTTGATAAGTGATGCTTTATTTTATTACATTTATACTTAAAATAACTCATCAGATAAATATTAACTTTTAATTGGATTGTTAGTGAAGTAGATACCTTTTTTTATTTTGATAAATAAATAGAGATATTGTCAGGTATCAATATTTTAATTCCACTAATGATCATTTCGATCGCGCAAGCTCTGAGGATGATCGCTACGCGATCGAAATGATCATTAGTGGAATTAAAATATTGATACCTGACAATATCTCTATTTATTTATCAAAATATTAACTTTTGTTTAATTAAGGTCACCAATACTAATTTTTCACAGAAACTGTACATTGAAAGCTGAATTAGTTTGTGTGTGGTTAAGTTCTTGATTCATTAGTCCAAATATTTAGCCTCTGTCATCACATCAGTTCATTTCTAAATTTTTCTCACAGAATATTTGTTTACCCTTGAGAATACATTATCTTCCTTAGCAATAAATTAGACATGATTACAAAGATGGAGAGTAACATTTATCATACCTGAAACACAGCCATCAACCAAATTTTCTTGAGAGTGAAGAAACTAGCAGATGACCGAGAAATAAAAACTCCAATTTGATAATCCAACTGATACCATCTGTATTGTTCTTTATGGTCAATGGACAGTCCTTCAAAATATATCAACTCAAACTTAAAAAAAAAATCCATAATTATTCAAAATGTAATCAAAGAGCTAAAATGTCATGAAGACAGAATAAAAATTCACATATACATAAAAAAATAGTTAAGAAGCACAAAATACTTACCAAGCCTTGATTAATAAAGTACTCAAATAAATAGACTAGACCAACTGGAATCATATATCTAAATAATGGTGGAATATCACAAAGCTTCCTATAGAATGAATGTATCACAGACTGATCATTTGAATCTTGAACGCTTTCATCTGCTTCTACAATGTTTGTTGGACTGTCTTCATTCTGTATGATCAGTGATCCATCATCGCTACAACATGAAATTCTTCCAGGGTGTTTCAGAAGCAACCAGAACCTATCAAAAAACAAACAAGGAACATATGAGGATATGTTTTCTGTCTCTCTTTTGTCACCTACTTTATTAATTTCCTTCAGCCTGTCTTGTGCCCTATTCTACTTACAATGTGTCAACAGAGAAATAACATTTATCTCATGGTTCTCCTTTACAAAGAGCAACCTTTTTCACCTCAATAATGGAATAACCGAAGATGTAAAGGAGAAAGTGAAATAGTACAGTGAAGTCACATGAAACAGTGTGTAAAGGGTTGCAATTCAGTTGGTTGATTGATGATTCCTGGTCAGTTGACCAAGGGTCATTAGCGATGGCAGCTTGTGACTGAAGATCAAAGAGCTGGGAGGGAAAAAATATAAATTTACACATGCATATCTTAATAACTGAAATTGTTTCTTTCTTGTATACCATATTGATACTTCAGTCCTTCAAAGCTGCAGTCTTGTCTGCGATGTCTTCATTCATCAGTTTCTTTATTAACTGCAAAAGAAGTTTCTTCTCATTTACAATATTCTTCAAAGACATACTGAAACACCTATGTATCAGTCACATACTCAACTTTAATCAAACACTGCAAAGTCTGTTCATACAATATCATTGATGTAGTGTGAAATGCACTCGATTAATTCATTTTATATGTGGTGACATTTTTGCAATGATTGAGGATTATTCAATAGAGCGACAAATTTTTTTCTGTTCCAAACCTTGCTTTTATTGCTAAAAATCAACAAATCCTATCCAACAAAACAATTTCCGTAGAGTTGAAGAAACACAACGAAGGGAATTCCTGAAACCATAACCGTTTGAAACTAACCTTAAGGTTGTAGTTTTTCCCAGATATTTAGAGAGATTCAATAGGGCACTCACAACTTAAAACTTCCTTATCTTAATCTTTCTAATGTGAAAATGGTATTTCTAATAAAATACACATTTTATATATTTTAATTGTTTATAAATGTATCGTGAACAGGCAGAACAAGGTTTTTTATGTCTTAAATAAAAAAACATTCTTGACGTACCCAACACAAGCTCACATCGACGATTACATCTTCATCATAATAAAATATGTTCTCCAAAAATTTTATCTTGCTGAAATCTAATGTTTTCTGAGTACGAGATCTCTAATATTGGTAGTCTGTCATTACATTTCTAAACGTGAACAATTATGATAAATTTCACGATGAAATGACAATATACATGAGAAAGAAAATAAAATTATAATATGTAAAAAGAAAAAAAAAGAAAAGAAAAGAGAGAAAAAATAAAAGGTGAATGCTAGGAGCATTGACAAGAGCAGCAGGTAGGCAATTCCAGTGATCCGCAACACAATTCAACACGAAAAACTTGTATGGACTGTGCAAAAAATTGCCTTTGTAATTGTAATTGTGACCATCACTGTGGAAGTTGGTATGGCTGAGAAATCACTGAAATGAGGCAGTTGTAGTGGCCGTTTAGTATTTTGTAAGTTTCGATGAGATCTCCCCACAATATCCTGTCATTAGCAGTTACAGGTGAAGTGCTTTGAGCATCTCTGGGTATGACAGGTGTCACAGGGCAGGAATGTACCCCGAAGATTTCCTACACTGGCTAAGAGAGGTTCTCGGAGAAATTCAGCACCCAGATGCAGCGACCAAATTCAATAATTGACCTAATGAAGGTAGTGTACATGTTGCGAAAAAGTCAAGGCATCAGGTGCTTGAAGGCTCTGTTGACCAGATACGAGACATTGTTGGCTTTTTGTAGTCTTGTGTTGAACATGTGTGCTCCACTTCAGACCCTGCGAGATCATGATTCCTAGGTCAGATTGAAATGGAACATACAGAATATAATGGTTGTTCAGATGACAGCATTTGTACTAATTATTTTTTCCAATATGAAGTACAGAACACTTCATTGGGTTGATGCTGAGCAGCCAGTCATTTGACCATTGAGATAGACTGTCAAGATCTTCTTGAACATCGAGCACTAGTGGGTTTCCATAGCATTTCACGTCTTCGGCCAATCACTCTTTGGTGGGTACTGTCAGGTTACAAAGGTCGGTTATGAAGAGTCAGAAGAGGAGCAGGCACAATAAAAAACTGTGGAACACAGATGCGAACAGACTTTTGAAGGAGAGAAAACCACCAGTTCTCACTTGTTCCAGTTCTCTAAAAAAGAAGTGATCCAATGTAGGAGGCTACCTCCCTCACCCAAGTGCTCGAGCTTGAACAGACGCTTTCCATGGAGACTCAATCAAAAGCTTTTTTGAAGTCAATTCAGATGATATCAACTGCCATTCTCTTGCAATTTGATCCAGTCACACTAACTTCAGTAGGTTGGAGAAGAAACACCTGCCTGGAAGAAGTTGTTCAGAAAGTATGTTTTTGCAGCAATCCAATATTGATCAGTTGAGCAGGGAAATGGACTTCACAGAAGCTAACCTGAGTGTGTGAGAGCTATGTCGATTAATGGACCAGTAACTTCACATATGAAGCTGCTGAATTGATTGGCTAAAGTCTCAGGAATCATGGCAGAATCAGAGATCATAAGGTCATCCAGATTAACTAGAGTACTAGGTGAAGCAGGTTTGGTAATCAATTGGCTCTTAAAGTATTTGTAGAATTTTTTGGACCAGAGGATACGAGTTCACCTTCATAACATGCATGTTGGAAGTCATTTGAATTGAATTGAATTAATGCCTTATTTTACGTGGCGAGACTCAGGCCATTAGGCCTGCTCTTCCGTCTAACCACGCAAATTTCGCTACGATTTTTTTGAATTTAGCTCAGAGGCGTCATTTAGGCTTGAGGATCTTTTACATGCAAGTAAATCTACAAACATGGGACAGCCGGCTTTACTTCCCCTGCGAAGGAAGGCGTACAAAGGATTTTTTCACCCTTAAAAATCCACGGCTTCGATGGGTTTGAACCCGCCAACTTGGGTACAACAGTCCAGTACGCTAACCGTTACACCATCCTCGCCGTGACATTTGCAGAGTGTACTTCAAGTTTTTGCAACTTTCCTTCTATTTATTATTCCTTTTCCAAATATATGAAAACTTATTGAAATCAATATCTAAAAGGGATTTTTTATAAGCATGGTGAGCATTAGATTTCTCTCTCAATGAAAATTTGCCAATTATTTTACACCATTCATCGTAAAGAAAAGATTAAGATATTTCACATGAACTTTTGGAAAAGAATTATCTAATCAAGTGATATCAAATCAAAACTATATATATAGAATCCAACACATTAATAAATTGAACGTGTACATTAAGGGAAAAAGTACACTCAACAGCTGAATGATAGGAGTCACAGGCAATTATTTGTGAAGTGGATTACAATACAGAGCAATCAGAAAAATCAGCAAACAAATAAGAGTTTTCCCTTGATTATTTACATTGCATATTTGAGTTAAATTTAAACAATTGATGGACTGTGTAAGGTGCGAGCTAGCAAAGATTTCACTACCAAATGCATTGTGGGCAATGCAAATACATTGTAATCCAGAATCTCCAGAGTTCCATTCATTATTTACCTTAAGGTAAATTAATTAGATAAATTAAAATCATGTCAAAATAAATTTAGCTAATGGATATACTTTGAATAAATGTTTGTACTTAGATTTATTACCCAGAATATCAAGAGCAATACCAGAACTTTAAAGGGTTACTTTAAAAGGTCTTGGGATATTCTCTTAAGTACCAGAGCCAGCTGAGGACTTCCACTTAGATATTATCCAGTCTGGTGATTTTTAAGTGATCATCTTTAAAATTAATAATTTCATTTAAAACTGAACTGATTTTCTATCATTCAACAAACTTTCAAAAGATGTCTTCATTAATAGCGTAAGAAATAACGTTACTAGTCCGGTAATCACAATCTTTTGATTCAGTACAGAATATTTCAAAGTCAGAATTATGTGAATATCCCACATCACCTGATCTCAATTCCTTGACTTTTACATCAGCTAGTAACTCTTAATTTGATTTCTGAAGGTTAGCAATGACTTTATTCAATTTAATTAGGACCCTTTTCATATGAAATCCATAAAATTTCTAGCAATATCAAATTAGTCACCATTTCTCTTTAAGGAGAATTTCCAAAGACAAAGGGAGCCATACAACAAGCTCAAAGATTCCCATAAAAACTCCCATAAAAACAAAATGGCAATGTTTATTGAAATAATACCAATAACATTCCATAGTATAAAACTGTTACACCAAACACTGATAAGATTAAAAGTTAGAATATTGATAAACATCCTGATCCTGATGGTATTCCTCTATCTTTATTGAAAAATTTCAAATTTACTATGCCACAGATATTGAAATACTTATTTGAGAAATCCATGAATGAAGAATTTCTTCCGATGGAATGGAAATCTTCATTTATAATACCAATTAAAAAGTCAGTTGAAAGAATCAATATATCTACAGGCCAATATCTGTAATTAGCTCCATCCCAAAATTATTGGAATTTATTATTTCTGATAAAAATAAAAATCATATAGTTCCTTTTTTACCTGAGAAGCAATTGGATTTTATTAAAAGCAGATCAATAGAAGCAAACCTAGTTTACCATACGGACTTCATCTTGAATTCTTTCTGTAAAATACGCCAACTAATGTAAACAGTAGTTAATCTTACTAGTTTTAATAATATTAAACTTTTTCTTTCTGTGTATTGATAAAATTCCATTTTAAATGATAAGCATTCTTTCCAATGGCCATTAAAGAATTAATGGGAACGTATGAAAGTAACAACAATTATACCACATATTTTCAACTTGCACAACTATTACATGGAAAACTGTCCAACATTGTAAGAAGTTTTACGATGAATTCAGTACTTTTCAACAATAAGGGATTTTTGATTAGGGCAGTATTCTACAAAAAATTGTAAAATTTTTTTGAACAAAGAATGCCTTGTTTTCTAAATCTTGCTAATAGATGGTGCCACAAGATTATTCGGTAATGTGGACGCAAGGGAAGTGTTTCAAGAGCACAAAACTATAACTCAAATTTAAAGATTTTGTGAGTTAGGGCGGTATTGCACTGGATCCTTAAATATAGAGTATCTTTATTTTTTTTTTAAAATAAAATTACAATAATTTAATACTAAATTTAAAATCTGGTGTTTTAATAAACTTTTAACTGCTTTGACATGAAGTAAGGATAAATTAATAACTTAAGGACTTTGGTTTAAAGTAAAAACATCTAAATTATTTTAAAAAATGTTTAATTTTTTTAAAAATATCATGATTTTTTCCAACCCTAGTAATTCCTGACACAAGTAGAATAGCTATGATTATGAGAGGAATTTGTTTTGGGTTGAAAGGTTAATTCCTATTGGTGATCATGTTATATCTAAATCAATAGTGGGTGCTAGACTTTTATGGAAAGAAGCAGAGTTAGGAAAAAGAAACAAACAAACCAACAACAGAAACTTCCATTACAATAAATAAAATTATCCATCAACACTTGTCCTAAATTAATGGAAGTAATATAAATCTCGATATGTTTCTTCACATGCACTATCTTGTCATCAATGGATTCTTCCCAATAGGGTGATTAATGTATGTATGTTTTTGGTGCAACAGCTCTTTACAAGCTAAAGCCTACCAGCAGCGCCCCAGCCTTGTGACCATGGGTTAAGGGGTATGTGTGGTTAGCACATAGCCATCCCTATGCTGTATTCTGGTATTCTCAACCTGAGACATGAGCTTTTTCAGCATCACACAGCAACAGATACTGGGACATTGCAAGGAAAGCGCAAAATTAATTTTTGTCCTGACTGGAAATCAAACCCGGTGTTGCACAGTGGAAAGCGACCACGCTAACCAACGGTCATTAATAGGCCTGTTAAAATAATAAACTTATATTGAATGGAATATGTTAATTAAGCCCACTTCTACGGTTATAGTCCTGATTACTATAATAGATCATGGGCTAACATTTACTATATGGAATGGATGAATTTGATGTGTTTACTTCTCTTGAATATAATGCGGTTAATTCAGCACATACATGATTGAATAATAGATACTGCATTTTATAGAAATATTAAAAAAATTAGTGATGCAATGATAATTTGAATTAATATAGTAGAATTTAACATTACTGTGCCTGTATTTGCTAAGTGTTAATAGATGACCCACAATTATATTTGCTGCTAATTGTACAGCAAAGGTTAATGAATGAATAACATATCTAATGGTTTCAATTCATACTATAAATAGTATGATTGGTGGATTTTCTTGAGGCACTAGATGGGCATTTATATGTTATGTTATTAATTCATCCATAAAATATAAATGATAATCATAATTGTAGTGCTAATGATAATGTAAATCCTCTGTGCCTCATACAAAAATCCTTCCTTAGTTGAACGTTCCCACTACCGGAAAATATTCATGCTACATATTAGACCCATTCTTGAATATGCCAGTGTTATAAGGGTCCCCTATTTCAAAAAAGTGCATGGAAATATGGAGCATATCAGAAAAAGTCACACGGATACCCACTGATCTCTGGATATGTACAATTTCAGACATGTAAAAAATATGCCTCCCCACACTACGACAAAGAAGTTAAGAATGTTATTGTCAAAACATTTAGGATTCTATACGGCATATACAACATACAAAACTTGAATAGGATCTTAGACAGGGACACTGACAAAATACTTCAAGAACATTTGAAGTTTTGAAAGGACCAGAGCTCATCAACCATGGTCAATATTTGGAACCATCTCCCACATGTGTTTCAGGCAGAACAGTCAACTCCTTCAAGATGATGCTGGCTTGCACTGGCTCAAAAGAGGAGGCCATTGTTCAGTTCGATGGGTTACACAGCCTATTGTCATAGTGTTGATGTTGGGTTTGAGTGTGGATTTGTATAATGTGATCTACTTACCTCCCACCATCTATTCTATGAATATCTCTCTCTCTACCGCCACAATTTCTGTAACATTTTTTGTCTCACTTTTCATGTCAAGCAGTATCAATTCATTTTCTGAGATGTTCTGCGTGTCTTGCACAGTTTTCTTTGCAATTCTTACAGCTTTTACAGGGCCTTTATTCTTATTTCTCTGGTAAGATTTAATGGCTTTTTTCTTGGAAGTCACATGTGAAAGTCGTGAAAAGCAATTGAAGCCAGCTTATAATCGAGTAAATACAGTAAGCACTTGAACCCTATCGTCAGCTCTTATCAACTGAAATCAGGACCTATCAGAGCAAGCTAAGGTTTTCCACCTGTCTAGGATCCAAATAATGTCATAAGCCCAGGAGAGGCCCTGCAGGAGATGTCATGCTGTTAGCAAAGGCACTCGAGTCAGTATTTTGCTGCCATAGCTGCCATTGTTAACCGTGTTAAGTTTATATTTTGCTGCCATTGCCACAAAAATTAATGCCAAATTTTGCCACATTGTCCTAACGTCCATTGTCCTATATGTTTGTCGTACATCCCACATTGACTTTCAGTGTTGCTCATCTGTTAGCACTGACAATTTCAACGCAAACATTGCTATATGCATAATGAGGAGACCTTTCTTGATATGATCAAAATACTGTCATCTGATTGTTCAACCACATAGTGCTTTCTTTTTCATTTAACTCCACATGTTGCTATCTTATTGCTGTATTCTGTGATTATGCATTTGGATGAAATGAAAGTAAACTATTACGAATAATGTGTTCATCAAGAACGAAAGCACTTCATTACTATACATCAGATGTACTTACGACAGTCCCATAATAACAGGAACAATCAACATTAGCAGCAGAGAAGATTTCGATGATAAGCCCAAAGCAGTAAGTCCTGCATAAGAGCCTGCTCCAAATACTCCCGCGCCCCCTGTGCCTGATGACCACATGGATATTGACGACCTGCAAAGCAAAATTATCAGTCAATCAAAATGGGTCAATCTAAATCATTAATACAACTTCGTACATACTTTGAAATTAAATGTTAATACAGCTCAACTCTTGGTTCACATTTATACGTTTATAAAGCTGCATATTGCACTTTGCATATGTTATGCACTTTGTGTAGAACTTGGCTCAATAATTGTTTTCTTCAAAAGAAAATTACTATTGCTTACTTGGTAAAAAACATTGCCCCATCATTTTACTTCTTTTGCTAGCATTACTAGCAAGCAATTGCACTTAGGGTACACTCATATTTGCATGAAAAACAATTTCTTTGATTTTTTGTCAGATTCAAATATATTTAATTATTTATTGAGAGGAAATAAAAAAGAAATAATAATAAAACACTTGCAATTTTTTGAAAATACCTCATAAAAAGTTCAGTCCAGTAGTATGGATAAAAGACCACAACATACATTGACTGAAAAGTGTTTGGCATTCATTTCAAACCTAGTGAAGTTACATCACATGCTTTTTCATATTACAGGCAACGATTACAACTTTAATATTGCAACTTCAACCTTCCTAACATTTTAGTCATCACAGTAAAAACTTTTAGCCAAATACGGAACTAGTGATCATAATAATAATAATAATAATAATAATAATAATAATAATAATAATAATAATAATAATAATAATAAAATCTACAAAGATATTTTAATTTTTACTTTCTTGCCTTACCAGGTACTTCTGTAATGAAAAGTAGTAGTACTGTAGTATTGTGATGTTGAAAAGAAAATTGGTGATTTTTGACAGAAAAACTTGCATTGTGAGGTCTTGGTAAATTACATTTGGTACCCAAAAGTAGTAAATTACTTTCTCTCTCTCTTGTGTTGAAAGAACTCACGTTTTCTGGGGCCTGCCAGTCAATCTCCTATCTGGAGTACTTTTCGTGTATTTTGCTACAATTTCTCAAATTTGCTCCAATTTTGTTCTTTAAATTTTCTCCCATAAAGAGCAAGTGTTTAAAAAATGGTAAGTAAAATGTGTTTTTAACAAAAATTGCAAACAAAAAATGAACATTGCAAAATTACAATGTTGATGATAAAGATTTTTCCTTAATGAAATGTGTTCTTTAAACCCAGGCCTTGAAATAATATATAAATAGAAATCACTAATTTTTTGAAAATTGCAAATGAAAATGATATACTTTGTTTTTTAACATTGGGAAGGTTGACTTTAAATATGTGGTTGGTGGTGTGTGTAGGGGTGCCTTGTGAGTAAACTCCTAGGGGCAGCCTCTTTTGTATGTCTCTGGTGAATATTCCGGTGGGTATGGACCCCTTGGAGTACTCCCATAGAGTTCCCTTTAGCATCAAATGGGTAATCCACCCTATGAGATATAGAGCAATGGGTAGTGGAAAAAAGGATTGTATAAAAGCCAGGTTCAGGGTCACAAAATACCCAGTGAAAGGTGTAGTGACTTTCAACAAATAAACAAATTACTTTAAAAATACAATTACTAAAAATCATTAAGATTTTATTTACCTCTCAAATTTATGAGAATATGCGAGGAAAGTAAGTTCGCCCAGTCCAGATGCAAAGGAGGTTGAAACAACCCCTAGGATGGCCATCCATGGTGCAGTGGTGAAGGCCACAAGCAAAAAGCCCGCACACGACAGCAGGATGACAATCAGAACCCGGATGCTGCAAGCATTCAGTAATCATTTATGCCACTTCAAATTCTTAACCCTGTAATTTTTTACTACTGTTGATAACTAATAAAGTTTCAATTGTAAAAATCAATATCAATTCACCTTTTCCCACTACATGATCCTCAACAACTACTGTTATGGTTCTTTTCTTCTTAATATGCCTTCATGTATAGTCAAAGAGGATAACCTATCAAGATAACAATTCTTAAGACCATGGCATGTTATGTACAAAGCACATGGCTAAAAACATGAATAAACTGAAAGTTTTACACTTTATTTTCTGATGTTTTCTAAACAAAGACTTAACTAAAAAAATCTGAAATTATAACACCTATTGAGATTACCATTTACCATATAAATTGAAACACTCCCTCATATTCTAATTTTCTTACATTTCTGATACACGAAATAACTTACTGGACAAAAAATGGTAAAAAAGGTGCAATCACTTTGACAAATAGCGAAGGAAGAATGTCAGCCAATAAAATCGTTCCCGTAGACATTGTATTGCATAATCGTTCTGTGCTATTTTTCTGAGGGATGTCATCAGATGCAGAATGATCCTAAAAGAAGAATATTGCATTACAAAGAAAGATAACACACTGGGGTGGAAAATTAAATACACAGCAAAAATACATAACAATGAGTTACGATTTCCACCATATAATATCTTTTAGAAATACACTTGATTGTAATATTATTTGTACAATTCTCTTTTCTACTCTTTTCTAGAACCTTCATTATTGAATAACACTAACGTTTTAGATGATTAAAAATAAAAAAACATTTTCCTTTTTTTTCGAGCTAGACACAAGACCAGCAAATCAGAAATGCTCATTGTTTATCTAACAAAAAAATACATCCATAGAATTCAAAGGTTGTAAATGGAAAATTACAGAGTATTTTCAAAACATTCATTACTTTTTATATTGTTAAATTTAATTTTTTGGAATGTGAATGACATTGTAACTGGTTTTGTTTTAACTGAAATTGAATTTCAACTGACAACTGAAACAAACCCTCAGATTCACTTTTTCATTTTTCCTCTAAAAAAGACAACTAATAAACAGAATTGCCAAGGTAGCTACACAATAATGGGAGAATAAAAAAAATTCTCACAGTCTTCTCCAGAACATCATGAGCAGCACTTAGCATAACAACATATCCATAATTGTTGCAGAGACCCAAAAGCCAATAGGCAACCATATTCCTCCATTTTTTTGGTCGATTAGCCCGCAACGGGCTGCTTTCCGTAGATTCCATAGAAAATGTTGCTGGGCCACTTGGCGAAGCTAAACAAAAGAAATTAAAATAAATCTATTACATATTATTAATCCGGATAGCTAAGATCGCTAGGGCGATCTCAGACAGAAGGATTGCGGGTATGGCATATGGCATGGGTGTGTTTGTATTGTCCATTCACCCTTCATTATCATCATCATTCCACATCCCATCCCCCCAGGACTAGCAATCCTGGGGAATAAAAATTGGATTCAGCATAAAAACACTGATCCCCACAAAGGAGTCACATACACTTGCCACAGGAAAATGTAAAAGAGCCTCGGTACGTGCAGGTGTATGTTCGCACAGTCCAAGGTGGCCAAATCATGACAAAAAATTAAGACCTGAATACTGGAGGGTTTTAATGTGTCATGAAATGTGTAACAAATGTGACAAAGTAAGACTCTCCTCCGCAAAAGTCAGTTAAAAACATTTTAAAAGACTATTATGTTTTGAGATATCTAGGAATGTTTAGGGTGGATGCAATGAAGGGAATTTTGGAGAAATATCAGCATGTCCATCTGTCGAACACTTAAAAGTAGACAATTTTAAACATACTTCTTATTTCAAATTTAATTTTAAACACATCACAAATGAGGAACAGCAGATTAAAACACATTAACTCCCAAGGCAAAATATAATGTGTTTTGATATGGCCACGAATAAAAATTTAATATTTTCTGATGTGATCATTATATTTTCTCTATTATTTAAAAGAACTAAATATTCATTGATTCGGCATACATTTGAGGTTTTCAGAAAGTTTGAATTAGTTTAAGAGCTTCAAACTAAAATGAAATGAATATTAGAGTCGATACATACAGAACTGTGTCTCCACAAATATCCTAGTCAATATTAATTTCCATTCTAAAATTTCAACGACTGATGCTTCTCAGACTTTCATTTTATTTTCCAACATTTCATGAAATTTCAGATTTTCTCAGGGCCTCATTATGTTTGACATAAAACTGGTTTTTCAATTCATTGTTACTGTGGTGGAAAAAAGTTAGAATTTTTCCTATAAATATAATAAATGTTTAAAAGTGTAGAGAATGTGGGTGAAAAAAGCACACATACTAGAGAAGAACACTTCATTTGCACTTGAGCATTTCTCCCCCTTCGTCCAATGGACTATAGTGATTAAATTAATACTAACAAAGCTTACTCAGAAAATAGGATAGGTGTTAAAAAATCTTCTATCAAATCTATTACTTTCCCTGAAAATACCAAATTCTGACTTTTCTAGAAATTCTTGGCCATTGCCTATCTAGTCATTAAAACATCCTACATATATCAATAATTAGAGTTACAATTACAAACATTTAAAAAAAAAAAAAAGAAAATAAAGTCCATGTTTTCTTGTGAAGATAATTTTGAAAATTAAGGCAAATTGTAACAATCTGAAATATAAATAACAGTATTTTAATAGGAGACTAGAATAAAGAAAAAAAAGTGACTGATATATTTTGGCATCAAAGGACTAACTATTCATGTATGAGAGAGGAATTTTAATTCCGAAACAGAGCAGGTACCACTCACAATAAATCAAAATGACCTTTCAATCTCGAGGCTCACTAAGAGAGTTGGCCTGATGCCCCATTATTAACACAACTCTCAGTTTTCTGTAACCTTCCCTCCCTCCATACAATTCACAGCTGCTGACAAATACTTTCTAAAACAAATTCATCTTCAATCACTGTTTTGTCATCCCAAATGTTACATTTAGATAACCTCAAACCTTTCTGCCACTTTATTGAATCTATTACCCAATATAAAAAAGATTAAATACTAATAATCACACACCAAAAACAATTTCACACGCACAAAAGAAATATGGTTGGCAGCACATGGAACAGAATCAAATACAGTACAAATAAAACTAATGAACAAAAATTATCTAAGATTTCACATTCTATACCTTCATCATGTATATCAGCACTAGCTATAGCTTCACTATTACTCATTTTGTTTTTACTAAATTTCGATGGATTAATTTAATTCCAGATACTACCACGATACGTGCATTCTTGGACACCAGATGCGATATCCTATTCATCAGCACACTAACACAAAGTAAGGCTATTCTTTAGCTCAATCAATGTTGAATTTCTTGAACTATGAAATGGACCAACAAAAGATTAGATTCTGTAGTGGGATCTTCAAATACCCACTCCTCAGCACAATGATAACATACATCCAAATCAAGTTGTTAACACATGGTCAGCATTATCAAGTGTTGTCAAAACATGTTCATCACAACAAAAATTAATGCTATGTTCAGTCACATATACTTGATAACACTTAGAGCCTTCACAATTATTTCCTGATCATAATAGCAATAATTAAGAATAATAGAAAGACGTTTTTTAACAGTCACATTATTTCAAATTGAAAGACTATTTAGCTTGGACTTCACTTCACATTGAACAATAACAACTAAATGATATGCGTCTACAATTGGATCATTCAAAAAACAGATCTCTTACAATATCATATCCAAACAATTGGGTTTCAACAATACATACTATACATACATTGTCATTATACCAATTTGCACATTGTTTCTTTTGTCATAACATAATGCAGAACTTCAAATGGATTTAGACACGGTAATGTCACAAACAACACAGTGACAATGCCGTTTAACAATAACCCGATAATAATGAACGTTGATCACACCCAACACCGCCGCGCGGAAGACAAAGGTACGGAAAAAACTACCAGAATCACATCGAAAACAGCTGACTGATTAGGCCCGCAACTTAAGCATCTACGCATTGCAAAAACGTTCAAATGATTAACAAACCGAAAGAAACAAAAAACAAATTGAACGCGATGTAATGATTAAATGTTGTAAGTGACAAATCGCAATTAATATATTAATATTGGTAATCATTTCAAACAGAGCAGCAGCATACCCCTTCCATTCTTCACTGGCCTTTAAACGTGTACAATACCGCGCGCGCTCAAATGAATAAGAATTGCTCCTCGTCAGCAAGTCAAAAGGCTTATAAGACTTCTTCATTATGTGCTCTAATAGTATCAATAACATAAAAGGTTAATGAGGGTTCTCGCAGACCTACCCATGTCGACGGCAGTTGTGGCGGTCAGTTCCGTCTGGTCGTTACTTCCTTCTGAAGCGGGAATCCCGGTCGGATCTTATTATGCAAATCCCGTACAGGAGTGCTGAAAGGTACCTAACGATGAACTTGGTACCAGTGAAAATGCTTAGGAGCTTAATATGATTGTAGACTAAACTTCAAATGTGCATTACTAATGTTTAAAATTAGTTTTCTATTTTTTAGACCATCTTCATTCCTAGAAAATAATTATCCAATTTTTGAATTAAATGACGTGTATATTTTTTTACATGTTTAAAAGCAAAAGTAATACAAATATAAAAATAATATCGATACATGGCATTTTTGTAATAAATCAATTTAACTTTGCATAAAAAAATGATCTATGATATATGTCTACTGTAGCTAAAATCCGAAATGACTAATTAATTATTAGGCTAATTCGTACATCCTTAATTATAAGGCTAATATACGAATTAGGCTAATTCGTACATGACCTACTCTTAATATATACCAGGCCAAAGTGTATGTTAACTTGATATTGTTTCTAAGAACGGCATATTTTTACTTTCTCGCTATACTAGTAAGTTACGTGGAGAGTAAAGATATAGTACTGTACTGTAATCGTGCGGAAATCGGTTTTTTTGTCCACAGAAAAACATTTTATCGGGCTCTGGTAACGAAAAGGTGATGAATCTGGTTTCTTTATATAGTAAATTACTTCCTCCAACACGCTGTATAGTCAGAATCCATGTTTGTCAATACTTGATACCTAACAATCAATTAACGGCATAACGTCTGTCCGTATGTCCGTCCATCTGTTGCCAATAGTGTCTCTTTTACCGTTTAGACGATATTCTCCGATCGATCTGAACGAACTCGATGCCCTGCAAGTTTGAAATGGATTTTTTGATTTTGGGGGGTACTTTACATGCAGCCTCAACGTTTTCAAAAGTGGCTCAAAATTTTTCGATTAAACTTTTTTCCTTGGATAGTGTAAAAATGGGGCAGGCCCTCTTTTCGTGGAAATCTCCCGCAATTTTCGAAAATTGTAAAAGTTAGAAATAATGAGTTTGCTGTTGGAGCACCACTGTATCTAATGGTGCAAACACATATGACTGTATGACATATTTTAAATGTGAAAAAAGCAATGTGTAATTAAATAATTAATAATAACAACAATAATAATGATAATAATAATAATAGTAATAACAATAATAATAATAATAATAATAATAATAATAATAATAATAATAATAATAATAATAATAATATCAAATTCTGTTTCACCGAGGCAATGAAACCCGCCCCAAAAAGTATTATGGATAATGTGTTGTTAAACATAATGGGTCCTTTGTCGACTAACTTTTACGATGCCTCAGCCGCAGAGGCAGAACTTGAGGCTGTGCGATAACCTGCGGAACAAGTTTCACAGGAAGACAGAGAAGAAAAAGAAAAACACCATTAACTCTCAAGCATTATAATCTCTATTCGGAATTCGAAATCATCGCTTTTGAGTTCTCTCTGAGCTACCAGTACGTTAGCAGAAGACAATTCAGGGTGAATCTAGAGAACCGCGTAATGGATGTCCACTTATTTCACGCATGCCACATGGCATCACTTTATGCAGATTGTTCTGGAACTTTCCGGTAACAGTCATATTTGTAGTTCTAAACTTTAATTTTGCGTCACTGACGTAGCTTATTGCATGTACCTATATTGAAAATATGCTTATTTTGTAGATTAAGATAGATTCTTATAATAATTACCTTATTACAGAAAGTATTAATGGCGAAATTTATTTGCAACAATTTATATGAAAAACAATTCCGGTTAAACGGTTGCTAATAATGAGATAAAAATAAATTCTATAACATTATTGTTAAAATAATATTGAATTGTTATTCTATATTTATGTATAGCTCGGTTATGGTTGCTTAAATTATGCAGTTAAATTGCTGTGTAATCAAAACATGATTAATATTAAATTAGCCGTAGTCTATTTGTAAATAATTAAATTAAATTAATAAATGCAACATTTAAAATATTAAAATTATATAATTTTAAATTAAAGTTTCAGTTGGTGACACTCCAACAAGTAGAACGTCGCTACCGCTCCCCCTCCCCCCGCAACTATTACAAGCAACTCTATTGAGAATCGATAGGTGAATAATCAGAACTATTAATAATAAAAATATCATTTTAATTTTAGAAAACAATTAAAGATTTGTAAAAATGAATCGAATGTAGATGTCGCCCATAAAATACATAATGTTAAAGAGGGGGAGGGGAATGAAGTCAAGCGCACTCCATTTATCATTAAAATGAGAATGTTAGGAATGAGTAGTTGAAATCGTAGAAGTGGTAGCTGAAGTTCTTATTCATTTATTCATTCATTCATTAATATACATGTTGCAAACGTTAATAAAATAATAGATCTACGAAAGTGTATTTTTGTATAACTAGTTTCACTTTTTCATACCGTGATTTCAATAAGTCACATTCTTTTTTCTAGTCTTCAACTGTCAAAACTATAAAGCGAGTACCATTAACATTTTTTGTTCTCTCGGATAATTTCTGTGGTGTATAATTGGATCATGAAATCGCTGCCGATTTTATCGCGTAGCCAATCTTTTGGTGAAGTCGCCAATTCCATTACTAGGCCCTTTCCCATGGGAAGTAGCCAAGATACGGCATTCACAATCCACACGAAAACCTTTTTGGTGAAAAATAAACTTTTTTCGGATTTTATATTGTGCACTTGCGCCAACTGAAAAATATATTAATTTTTTGACATTACCTATTTCAACGTTTAGAAATTTAGTCAAATGTTTGTGGCAAAGGTGAACTGTATTTGTACTAAGCTTGAGGCATTCGGAAATTGTTATCACACTTTTGTGCCTTAGATGAAGTGGCGGCTCGTGGTCATGCTATTGGGGTGTACAATGTCTCTTTTCTCGCGCCCTTCCTCCCCCCTCTCTTTTCTCCCACCCCCCGCCCTCTCTCACTCACATACACATACACACACTCACACACGTACTCACGAACATACACACATGTCCATACTTAGAGGAATACACATGTATTCATTATTACAATATAATTACAAATAATGACAATTAAACTCAAGGCATCGTATGAAGTTTGGCAGCATGCTGTACAGTTCCTTTTATCAGTAGTGAAGATTGGTGGCATTTCTTTTCACAGCACCTGCTTCGACTTCCTTCGGCCAGGAACCCTAGGAATATTTACGGAACGGATTACCGCATGATGACTCAACACGTTACACGACCGCTTTTCACAGTGAGTCAAGAGTTCTATTTTACTCATTGATTCAAAACTTTTTTACTCGCACTTTTTCTGTAGTGTATTTTCCATAAGTACACTATACAAACTTTAAGGTTAAAAGTACAAGTTTCCAAACCCAATACTTAAAAAAACTGGACTGTTTACATTCTATATTGTATGACGAAACACGAAGTCTGTGTCGCTTCAGTAAACACTGTTTCTTTTCAGGAATTTTTCAGTGTTTTTTCATTGATATCATTTTAATGTTTTGGAGGCTGTTCATTGTTAGACAAACACGCTTGACAGAAATAGGAATACTCTCACTTTCGTTTTTCAAACCGCATTCAAAAGTAACCTACTACGTACGTTTACAAACTGCATTTGGATGTTCACATGCTTCGGAATGGACTTGTAATTGCAACTCGCTTAACATTCGATTAATACAACAGTTAGGTATGCATCACTACACAGCAACGAGTTCGCGTTTCGCGCGCTAGCGAAGCACTGCTGTGAGAGGGATGAGAGCTCGTCTCACACTTTCTTCTTTCTGTGTCACACTCACTTCTTTTAAAAACTTGAGCTCGCGTCTTAAAGATTGCGTCTGCGCAGTGGTGATCGCATCGCCGCCCGGCCGCTCCGTGCGTTCACAAACCACCGTTGCCCCCCCCCCCCCCCCCCCCCTCTGCAGTCAAAGGCAGCTTCGACGCCCTTGGCCCAATCGCAATTCCCGAGTGTGCGCCGAGTGTGCGTTGTCACGAAGGGCATTGGCAGCGGACCGTACCAGGTTTCGGAAAAGCTCTGAGTGCACTTGTGTGCCCCTTATGGTAAGAGATGTTTAAGACAAATTGTACCGAATTAATTTGGGTGTGCACATGCGAACGTGCGAATACCCTCGAGCCGCCACTGCTTAGATGACTTATATTTGAATGATGGGGTATTGAATAAAGGGGTGAAGTGTGACCTGGTTCTTTATTCCATTGTGCTCATTGAACTGAATTTTGAATGAATTTCTTCTTATATCTATGACTGATTTTTTGAGATTGAATGTATTAAAATTAACGTCATGTCTAGGGTGTTTGATATTACTCATTGTGTTAACAGTCTAACACAAATTATGCAAAACCTGCATTAAACACGGTTTACACTTGCTGCACATAAACCCAGCCTACTATAACAAATAAAATTGGATCTGCCGGACAGTACAGAATGTGTGTCGTCCTGACGTGGCTGTAGCGGGACCGAACTCACGAAACGTTAAACAAATACTGGCAGAATCCATGACGAAGGCACTC